TTTATTTTAATTTTTTTTTTTGAGAGCGAGTGCGAGTGGAGGAGAGGCAGAGAGAGAGAGAGAGAGAGAGAAAGAGAGAGAACGCTCAGGATGGAGCCCAATTCGAGGCTCAGTCCCACGACCCTGGGATCATGACCTGAGCCGATATCAAGAGTCAGATGCTCAACCGACTGAGCCATCCAGGCACCCCCCAAGAAACATCTACGTTAAACAAGAAGCCAAATTATTTTTATGAAAAGCACAGGTAAAACAATACTCTTCTTCCCCCCAAATCAGGTTTTTAAAGTTAAAAGAGACCAATTAATATTAAAACAGCTTTTATTTGTTAATGTATCATAGGAAATTAAAGCAAGTTACACTATCTTTAAAAACACAGCTAATGCATTTTAAGAGAAACCCGTCCCTCCCACCCGCTATCCCCGCATGAATTAAGAATCTAAGAGAAGTAACCATAAAACAAAGTTTTGTGGAATCCTTCATCCAAGAGTGCTTACATGATGATTAGGTTAATATTGCCTTCTTACAAAATTTCTCTTTTCTATTAAAAAAAATTTTTTGTAGCCTTGATTGTTTATTACAAAAAAATTCAGTACAAAAGTTTGATATATTGAAAAATGCCCCCCCCTCACAGCACCGTTATATATAGCAGAGAGTAATCAAGAGCAGATTGCTAATCTAGATGGAGCAATCTTCAAATTATACCCAGACACACAGTGGTTTATTTACCCTCCCGTCCCCTTCTTGTAAGAACTTAAAAAAACACACATACAAAAAAATGTCAAAAAATTTGAGGAACCCTTTCCAAACAGTACACAGTTAGTTCAGTGTCAATAATTCACATCTTGCAACAAAGTGTATGGATATGGTTTCTTTTACAAAACTTTTTCAGTGTCAAAAAAGGAAATTAAGGCCATCAGATTCGCAGCTTAAAAATTCACATAAAGGAAATATAAAAATATTCTGTGCTTCTGAGAAGGCTCTGCACTGCATGTTGGTAAGGATTACCGTATTTCTTTGTGTTGAGGAAGACCGTTGACTTGAGAAGTTTACATAATTGCACAGCTTCTATTGGATGCTCTTGGGGTTCCCTGACGAGGAAAAGCAGAAAGAAAAATCAGTGCTAAGAAAATGGAGGACAGCACTTTAAAATAAGGCAGAGATGGGACAAAACCGTATTACCTAACTTCAAATGAAACTTTATCATTTTCTCATTTTTAACCTCCTCTTATAAACTTCTTCCAACAAATTCCACAACAGTGACACTAAACTCCAGCTGCACATTCAGATCCTGAAGAGCTTCAAAAAAAAAAAATTCTGATCTGGGTCTCTAGATAAGAATTTCTCATTTAAGTGGGGAAGTATATCTATTTATATATAATTTTAAAACTCCCTAAGTAATTAATGATATGCAGCTAAGGCTGAAAGTCACTATTCAATAAAAAACCTTCTTTTCTAACCGGAAACAGGAGGTCAGCAGGCTCCATTGTGAACAACCACATCAGGGAGCCCAGCCGGCTGGGTCCTCTGCTTGCACATCCCAAAGCACAGGCTCCGGCATCGTCCTCAGACGTGAAGTCAACATGGCTCTCTCTGTTCTTGTCTTTCACCACGCACTAATTCCTTAAAACCACACAGTCGGACCTGTCACTTACCACCAGACTTGGCTGAAATTGGTTTCTTGAAGGCCACCAAAAAAACCTTATCAATTCGAAAGGCCACTGGACCCATTCTCTAATGAGAATTCAAAATATCTACCCTTCCATCTCCCCTCTTTTAAAACTTGACATCATTATCTACTCTGATCACCAAAGCTAAACGCCTCACACATCTGCCTTCTTCTCCTTCTCTCCCCTCTCAAGTTCAGTCACTAGGTCTTAATGAACCTCCATTCACAGTCCCTCAGTGTCTCTCTAATCTCCCTTCTGGAGTCAACTGCAGATCAGTATTAGCATCTCCTTGGCTCCAACGTGTGCAGAAGCTCTCTGCCCAGGCAGCCCAGACTGCACACTTACCACCAAAGCTTCCCATTTCATCTATGTATGACGTGTATCCTACGATACAACTGGACAGATACACCTAACACGTCCTTTGTGGTGAACAGAAGATCACCGCAGGTTCTCTGCCTCACTCCTCCCCATCAGAGCTGAGGACTATTTGCCCTTGCCTACGGCTGAATATGGCCTACAGACTCACTTTGTCTAAGAGAATATGGGCCTAGCCTTTAAGAGATCTGGTGCTCTCTTTCTCCCCCTTATGGAAGCCAGCTGCCATGTTATAAACAAGATTTCAGCTAAACTACCAAAAGATAAAACAATGTGGGGGCGCCTGGGTAGCTCAGTTTGTTAAGTGTCCGACTCTTGGTTTCAGCTCAGGTCATGCGTGATCTCACGGTTTCGTGGGTTTAAGTCCCGCATCAGGCTCTGTGCTGACAATGTGGAGTCTGCTTGGGATTCTGTCTCCCGCTCTCTCTGCCCCTCCCCAACTCACACTATCTCAGTCTCTCCCAAAATAAATAAATAAACTTAAAAAAAAAAAAAAAAAGATAAAGCAACATGGAGAGAAACAAGGAGAACATTCCAGCTGAATACAACTGTGTCATTAACTTTCTCTCCATCACATGGAGCAAAAGACTTGCCCAGCTGAGCCCAGTCAAACCACAGAATCAAGACAAGTAAGAAACACTTGTTCTAAGTCACTTATGTTTTGGAGTGTATGTTAATGCAGCCAACAGGTAATGCAAACACCACTGTGGGTCTTCTGATACCCAAATAACTGCCCAACTTTCAAATTACTGGACAAGCATACTTCCCAGGGATCTTCTCAACAATTCTGGTGGCCTAGACAGTCTTCTCCAGCATCTGACCTGCTACAAATCATACTCTGAGCCACTTCTCTGCCACCTTGAGAGATCTCTTACATTGTTATTTTACTTCCACTCATTATAATGCTTCCCACTGGGGGCAGGAAATGGATCTTGTCCTGGTTTCTTGTGAAAGTTAAGGCTAAAGTAGCTGTTCTTGAACAGTCCTCCAAAATGTATTAGGAAGTATCCCAAAGTTCGTTCTACCTCATACAACCCCCATCAAGTGGTTCTCAACCCTGGGGGTTAACCACCTAAGAGAATGTTTATTCGGAGTAGGACTGGGGCCAATGAAGCAAAATGAACCGACTTATAAAGCTGGAAACATAGAAACAAAGTCTTATAAGGATAAGGGTAGGAATTTTGATTAATCACCTGACTCAAACAGCTTGAGACTATAAACTGAAGGCTTATTACTTATTAATAATTCCAATTTAATTAATTAAAATCAAATTTGGAGTTTATTTCAAGGGCTCTCAAAAGCCCAAGCATCAGCTAAAATCTATCTTATAATTAGATGATTTGGAATTTAATATAGTTTAACCGACTGAGCCATCCAGGCGCCCCTTGGAATTTAATATAGCAAGAATTTTTGTTTCCCACTGCAGTAGAATATTACTCTGGCTTTTTTAAGTTTATATGCAGATACTCTAATTAGTGATCTAAAATAAACCTCTATCACAGAACTCTCCAGTAAATAATTTTGAGCATGCATTCCAACCCATATATACTTATTTATAAGTGATACACAACACGTCCTGCATATTATGTACATTATGAAACATGATAAAAACTGAAATTGGATATAAGGAGAAAAAAATTGTTTTAAAGAAGTGCTATCATTTTCCTCTAACACTCTCTAATGTACTATTCTTGAATGTCCCCTCGGGAAAAACAAACCCCAGGTGGCAAATCACTCATCTGGTTCAAGTAATAGGGAAAAAGACCAAATCCACTGCTGATTTTGGTTTCTGTGTAATTCTTTCAATAAAATTTTAAATAAATATATTAAAGTGATACCTGCTGGTGGAAAATCTCTTCCTCAACAACCACTTCAGGTGCCGCTTCCTCCTCCTCCTCTTCTTCAGGTATGGTTGTTTTAAAGACTGTACTTCTTTGAGCAACCTCCTGAAAACAAGAGTAACTTTTAAGTCAACGTCATAACTATCGCAAAGGCAGTTGGGGAGAGGGAACTTATCTTTGCTTAACTTTTAGAAACAGCACCTTTCCTGCATCAGGGATTATTTTCTAAAAAAGAAGAAAGTGCTTCATCAATAGCTTTAGCTAGTGAACAGGATATTTTACACGACTAGTAGCAGTTGTTAGATTTTCAATATTCCCCACAGAGGAGCTACCGGTATCCAATTTGAAATGCCGGCTGCAAAGATTCCAATGCTTCTGATCCCATTCGCTTACTAAGAACTCTGTGAGGGGCGCCTGGGTGGCGCAGTCGGTTAAGCGTCCGACTTCAGCCAGGTCACGATCTCGCGGTCCGTGAATTCGAGCCCCGCGTCGGGCTCTGGGCTGATGGCTCAGAGCCTGGAGCCTGTTTCCGATTCTGTGTCTCCCTCTCTTTCTGCCCCTCCCCCGTTCATGCTCTGTCTCTCTCTGTCCCAAAAATAAATAAACGTTGAAAAAAAAAAAAAATTAAAAAAAATAAAAAAAAAAAAAGAACTCTGTGAACAATCTGGCACACGAGACTCTTTGTAACACTCAACATGAATGCAGCTTCAAGGTCCTGGCTCCTCGCAAAAAGAAGGCACTGAAGAAATTCTGAATTAAATGAAGCTGAAGGCCAAATGCTGTGATCGCAGGCAACATGGTGGCAACAGTCCACCTTCAACAACTTTCCTCTCAGGAAATGGAACCAAGACAGATGAGCGCCATTTACTAATAACACACCAGTGAAGCTCCAATGTATTCTGCACAGAAAATAGTTTCATCATTCACCGTTTCCATTTTCTCCTGAAAGGCACAAGTACAGATGCCTCTCCTGTGGAGAACGCTGACTTGCACAGCACAGCAGTATTTGTGTGTAAGCAAGAGGCTGACCTGACGATCTGGCAGCAAGTAAATGAGTGTCCTACAGCCTGCTGCAGAGCATCTCATTTTATTCTGTACCAAGTCCTAAGGTCACTCAAGAAGGATAACTCCACAGACAAAGATGCTAAAATTCCGTCAGTAAAAGCTTATCTGGAATTTAACACACAACCAGCTCGTTTAAAATAGCAGAGAAAGAAAACCAAAGAAGGTTGTCTTACAAATCAGAGTTCAACTTTAAATTTATGTCCAGGGATATATCTCATAAATGAAGCAAGGTAGTACACTAGTGTTTTGTGGGGAATTTTGATTACGTTACACGGCCACGGAAGACAGAGAGTGAGAGTCTCAGCTGGAAACTTCAACTCTGTGAGGTCAGTCAGTGCTCAGGTACACGAACAGCCACTTCACAAACATCAGCGTGCTGACCAAATCAGCACTAACAAAAAAGCATGTGAGCCTTACATCAATTATAATTCTTTGAAGTCAGATATCAATTGGGGGATGGCGGCATACAAAATAGAAGAAGAATTCTCAAAAAGTGCTCAGAGTACCCAGCCTTCCACAATTCATCCTAAAATGAGGCAAGAAAAGTCAAAGAAACCCTGCTACAGAATTCTCACATTCCAGCTCAGGCAGCACGTGACAAACATATACACCTCATCTTGCAAACATTCTTAAAGCATGTGACGTTATTTTCCTCAAATGTGAAACTCCGTAAGCAGGAACTTGCCCAACTAAGTTAATTATAAGTTAATTCACTTGAACTACTTTTTATTTTTATTTTTTTTATTTAAAAGCTTGGGGCTTCTGGTGATATCGTTAAGCGTCCGACTAGCCAGGTCAATAATACAAGTCTGGTGAGTTCGAAGCTCATCGCCGCTCTCCTTCTAAGGATGTTGAGCTGGCTTGCTTTCCGATTCTAGGTGTTCTTCCTTCTTCTTCTCTGCCTGAGCAGCTTGTTCTTTTCTGTCCCACAAATAAACGCTGAAAAAAAATAAAATAAAATAAATTTTTTTAACATTTACTGATTTTTGAGACAGAGAAAGATGAGCAATTTAAAATAGGGTGGGTCAGAGAGAGAGAGAGGGAGACACAGAATATGAATAGGCCTAGGCTCTGAGCTGTCAGCACAGAGCCTGATGCAGGGCTCGAACCCACGAACTGTGAGATCATGACATGAGCCGAAGTTGGACGCTTAACCGACTGAGCCACCCAGGTGCCCCTGAACTACTTTTTAAAAATGTTTATTTTTAGGGAGCGAATGAGAGAGGATGGGCATGAGCACATGTGGGGAGAGGGCCGTAGAGAGACAGAATTCTAAATCCAGCTCTGCAATTTCTCGCACAGAAAGCTCACCGCGGGCTCAATCTCACGAACCCATGAGATCATGACCTGAGCGGAAATCAAGAGCTGGACACTTAACTAACTGAGCCACCCAGGTGCCCCTCACATTAACTACTTTTTTTTTTTTTTTTAATGTTTTATTATTTATTTTTGAGAGAGAGAGACAGAGCATGAGCAGGGGAGGGACAGAGAGAGGGAGACACAGAATCCAAAGCAGGCTCCAAGGCTCTGAGCTGTCACTGACACAGGGCTCGACCCCACGAATTGTGAGATCATGACCTGAGTTGAAGTTGGACGCTTAACCAACTGAGACACCCAGGTGCCCCTTTAGTTATTTTTAATATAAGCCTGCTGTTAAGCACCTTTCATGTGATGACATTTAAACACCAAATAATCCAATGCAGAAGGCCTGTATAGAAAATCAGTGTACTAAATAATGTCTAAAAATTGATAGAAAAATCATAAAACACATTTAGAACCAAAAATCGTTGGAAGGTTTGGGCCCAGGAAATTATTAGTCAAGGCGCTAATAAGTGTCTTTATCCAAAAAGTTCCTCTCATCCAACCCTATCAAGTGCCCTGAAAGACACATATAAATGGCCTCTCTGTAAAATGTATTAGGAGTCTGTCCCTGTTAAGCCTTGCACACACACAGGTACACTATTCAGGCATGCACTGAAGCCAGCCAGTACCAGCTGATGCGCTCACCTCTGCCAACTGTGCTCAGTCATGACATGCGGATATCCTGGAAACACCACAGTGACAGTATGGGATATCCACAGCACAGAAATCAGCAAATGTTACAGGGCTGTTTTTCGATGGAGGAGCTATTAAACTATGGTATCTCTGTACAGACAAGCAATCATTCACATATATAAAAGCTTCAGTTATGACTATATTCCAGAAGGTAGAGACTTTTTTATTTCTTATTTCCCTCACAGAAGAACATTTAGCATGTCAACACTTGGTGTTTTTAATCATCTAGCACCTCCTCCCTCATTTCTCAGTGACAGTCCCCAATTTCACCTGGGTACCCATCTCTCCCGTGGAGATGGGACAAATGAGTCACAAGGAGCAGAGGGGATCAAGCTGCTAGAGAGAGAATCCTCAAGCTCTGTCCTCCTGACTCCAGGAACCGGGTTAGAAGGGAGCCTGTGAGCCATGCTGGTACGAGGAGAGTAAAGCCCAGGATGGGAATGTCACAGGGAAAGAGGCTCCTTCCCACAAAAAGCCAACCTGGAATGATGCACTTCCAGGAACTCCAGCACCCATCCCACATCAACCACAGAGACGCTCAGCAAACAGACAAAGAAGATCCTTGGTGACAGTGAGTGAACTCCTGGATCAAGTCCACTACTGCTGGATTTCTGGGTGTGTGAGCCCAGATATTCCCAGGAGGGTTGGTTTAAGTGGGTTTTCTGACATTTCCAATGCCTCAGGCAAGAAGAAAATACATGTAAAAAAATAAACTGACTTATGCCAATTACCTACAAACTTACAGAAAAATGGTCTTTATGGTAGTGATTATGGATTGTTGCAAATATGGTCTGGAATTTACTAATAAACACGGTTTCAGAATTAACGAATAAATACCAAATTTACTTGGCTGGCAACCGCAAAAATAGAAACTGTATTCATCCTATTTTCCTCATCTGACAAAAGTCACTTTAAATAGAGCCTAGCAAGCAGAAGACAGAAGTTTGTTAAAAGAACAAAACCGACCAAGCAAATAATCTAATATTCAATGGTTTAAGTTCTGCAGAGAAACCAAAGCTTCAGTCAGCTTTATCGAAACGTCACTGTAATACCACCTTCAAGCCTGACCCCAGTCACGGGATCTGCTTTGTTCACATGTCACTCTATCTTGTGGGCTTTAAACTGCTACATTCCAAATACCTTCCCATAAGACTACCTCTAACTAGATAGGCTTTCACAGAGAAAAGAATGGTACACAGGTGATGACTGGATTTCCATGGTTCACAAAAGCCCATCTCATCTGCCAGGGCCCCTTCTAACGGTGCTTTTCAACCTGAGCAAATCGCCACTTTCGGCAACACTGTGAGAGTGTCACGTGTGCTGCCCACGTCAGGTGTCGGGGGAATGCAGCACTTGGGTGCCGGCCCCAGCGACCCTGGGAAAGTTTCCAAAGTGCTGACGGCAAGAAGCCTCTTCTTTCTCCTGCGGAGAAGATCCAACACCTTGAAGACGGAGTGAGCAACAGCAAGTGTCAACTACACCCCCACCGGAGAGGCTAGCCAAGGACCTGGAGGGGAATTCTTCACGCGTGCCCTGAAATCTCACACGACCGTACTGAGGTCTATGGTGAATCAGAACCACTCTCAGTCTGAGATCAAGGGCACTCCTCATCCAGCAGACCGTGAATTCATGTGAAGAGCGGTCCCAACACCAGCGCATGTGTGCAGTGAGAGACAGAGAGGAAGGTGGCACGGCACGAGGCTCCTGATGCAAACACCCCACACCCGCATCGCAAACGTGTTACTTTATTTCTCTGAACTCAAGGGAAGGCCCACGTTTAATTAAAATTTTTTTATCCAGTAAATTCTTACTGAAATATGTGCCAAGAAAATTCACCGTAGGTCCTCACCCTCAATGTGCTGTGCTGATTACTGTAATGAGACAGGTCAACCGGACAAGCCCCGTACAGGTGAGAGGTCTGCACTCGGCATTACAGTGGCGGAGAAGGAAGCCCTAAGGGGCTGCTGCGAGTTGGCCTGCAACCGCTCCTTCCTCCGCAGACTCCCACTTCTTGGGTGGGCATGCACGTGCACATATGGTAGGGGTGTCTTTACCTGACAGCACGGGTAGGTAAGGTTCTTTGATAAGAATCTAGGACAGACATGTTAAAAATAGAAATATCAAGCAGATGTACACTCCACGGTCTTCAAACTCACAGTTTCACAAACACTCTGAGCAAGCAACAAGGTGAAAACATAAGCAGTCACCAGAGGCCAGATGCTGTTGCAAGCATTTCCCAACGATTACCTCATTTATATTGTATTCCTCCCATTAATACCATCACAATTATATTACTTGTCTTTATCATCTCCACTGTAAAATGAGAAGACTTAAAGTAAAGGAACTTGCCGAAAGTCACAAAGCCAGCGGCAGTGGAGACAGAACTACTGTCCTGTATGTTCAGTGTCCACAATACATTCCTACTTCACTCCTAAAATCTGAAGTCAGCTTCACTTGGATTTACTGAGCGGCCTTGGTCTGGTGTAAGCAATCAACTACTTCCCATTTCAATGTGATTTCTGAAGAGAAATCGTCTTGCACAATGAACTTTCAAGGGGAACATACACTGTGGTAGTGCTGACAAAATGGCCTTACCTCTCCCTGAGAATTTTTCAATATCACCTTCACATCTTCACCAGTGCCCCAAGAGTTCTGGTTCTTCCAGATGAGGTCAGTGGGAGGACTGGCTGTGACACCAGCATTTGCAGCCCAAATCTAGAAAAGAGAAAGGACATCAGTCGATCCAGATCCCAGCTCTCCCACATCCCAACAACAGCAAAGTAACCAAGAGACTTGGACACTTTATAAAAGAACGGATTCTAACTCTCAGAACTGAGTCCCAGGTTCAGAGAACTGCTGTATGACTAACTGTGCATCCAGGAGAACCTTTCTAGGCCTCGGCTTCCCCAACCGATAAAGGTGAATGGTGATGCACAGGGATCTGAGGGGACGCTGTCCATATTCACCTCCTACCTCTCAACATGTCAGCTGAATGTGTCCAAGTCACCTTACTCTCATTAGGCATGAAATGACAGAAGTGAAACCTGGAACGCATGAGATTACTCTACCCGCACAGAGGGGCTGGCTCACTCGGCAAGGCTCAGCTCTCACTGTTGCTACTGTTACTCTATGGGTTTTATGGGCCATTCTTCCGGGGTGGAGCCCTCTGACCAGCTCCAATAGTAGCCTCCAGCTGCCTAGAGCAGGAAGTGAAGAGATACCGCTAACTTCTCTCAAAACTTCTGCAGCAGACAGCCCACCTAGAATATTCTAATATAAACTAGTAGGTCTCCAACTAGGGGCTCTGTCACAATACGTCAGGAGTGTCTGATACTGAACTCCGAAAAGAAAACAGGAAAGGAACAAATCACCCATTACTCAGGAATGATAAACAGGAATGCTACTGAAATAGGCAAAACCAAAAAAATTACATTTCCCTCCTAATAAGCATGGAAATTCTGCCATATTTTTAATGTATTTTATAGGCAAAAGAGTATTGGTAGAGTGGAGAAAATGTGAGTCAGAAACTCTGGCTCTGAGCCAGGGACAAATCACTCCAGCTCCACAACCTCCATCTGTAGGGACACCACCACCAATCCTGATGCTTCTGAAAGAGTGTATGAAAATAGAAAGGAAAGTCTTACACCCCATAAATTATTTTACAATATAAATGGCTACATGATGGCAAAATGAAGACTGGAGATCATACAGGCAGACATCTTTTTAAATGGGGAGGAAAATCTATGAATTACTAACTAGGAGGGAGCCCATCCTCTGTAGATGCTCACCTGAAGCTTCAAGATCTTTCTTTCGTCAGCATTATAGCTGGAAACGGACAAGGAGCATTTACTGGGGTAAAACAAAAAATGAACTGGAACTGGGCTGTCAGGCTTGTGGAATGTTAATGTTTTCCTCGTTTCAAGCAAGACATTTTCACTAGTCCATATGGAATCATATAGTTGGTTTAGTGTTGTTAATAATCACAAAATGTCAGTAACCTTACTGGGTAATTTAATCTACATCTAAAATGTCCCAGAGTCTGGGGTGCCTGGGTGGCTCAGTCAGTCAGGTGTCCGACTTCAGCTCAGGTCATGATCTCATGGCTTGTGAGTTCGAGCCCCGTGTTGGGCTCTGTGCTGACAGCTCAGAACCTGGATCCTGCTTCAGATTCTGTGTCTCTCCCGTTCCCTGTCCCCCCCCATGCTTATGTTCTGTCTCTCTCTCAATAATAAATAAAAGTTAAAAAAAAAAATTAAACATCCCAGAGTCATCCTGTTCCATGTGCTAGCCATATGTGGTTTGTGAGCATTTGAAATGTGGCTGGTCAAAATGGAGATGTACTGTGAGGACAGCTGTAAGTTTGAACACATAGTTTAAAGAAAAAAAAAGGTAGGGGCGCCTGGGTGGCTCAGTCGGTTGAGCGTCCGA